TTAAAGAGGGAGGGTACTAGAACCCTCTTTAAAGGACAAAGAACAAAGCGAAGAACAGGAAACCATTAAGATTAACAAGGCATTTTTTTTTTTTCCTTTTTGTCTTTTTTCGTGACCGGCAACGGATTGCAACCCTCAGTGTCGCGCCCGTACCAGACCAGGACCGGCAACGGGATCGCAACCCTCGGTGTTGCACCCGCACGTCGCTCAGCCAGTGAGCGGCCGGTCTGTATGTGGGATCCGAACCCTCGGCGGGAGCACCGCCACACTCCCAAGCGGCGCACTGTAGCAGTGTGCCACCGGGCCGGCCCAACAAGGCATATTTTTAAAAGAACCTATTAGAACTTTTAAAAACGAAAATATAATCACTGAAATTAATGTTAATATATGGATTAAACTGTGTATTAAATAGAACTTGAGAATATATAAACTGGAAGACAGAGCTGAAAAATTTATTCAGAATGCAAAACAAAGAGATAAAGAGAATAAAATATGAAAGATGTAAGAGACAAAGCAAGTAAGAGACAAAGCACAAAGGTCAAGAGGCCATAGCTGATAACTGTGACTTTCTTTTTCCACTACCCGTTCCATATTTCCTTTGCCCTCAGCCAGAACCTCAAATGGCTAGGGTTGTTTACTGGGTGGGATGACCCAGACTTTAATTCCTGAGTAGTCTGAATCCTCCATAGTTCTTTTTTTGATAGCTATACTTTTTTATTACCATATGTTATTGGTTATGGAAGTAATAGGAAGTATTCCAAAGAGTCTTCTGAGTTCCAGACACAGTCTTCCTTGCTCCTAATGTTTTCAGCAACTCACTTCTACCTTAGTAATCAGGATCAGTCACTTTAACCAGTAAACCCCTCCTTGGCCTATTGGTTCAGTGATATAAGAACTCTAAAATGTCCAGGTGGCAGTGTCATCTTCCAATTCAGTGGAATCATTGTTGTATTCCTCTGACGGAAGCATTTCCCCCTTGAGGACTAACCAACAGTCAGAGCTCAAGTTGTGAGCTGGGAAGCAAAAATTATGTGTGTGGATTATTAGGTGTAGTAGTGAGAAGAGTCACTCCCACTTCCACGCCTTGATTCCTAGACCCTGTATTTTTGTTGTGGTGGAGACAGCACCATATAATGGTCTCATTATTGCATCCTGTAAGATAGAACCCCATCTTTTCAGAGTTTTGTCTACTAACTCATCTTTAGTAAGCTTTTTTATTAGGCCATCTATTTTTTGGAATGTTGTAAGACCATTTTGTTCTGTGGGTATGACTCCATTGCTTTACTGCCTTTGCTGTGAAATGAGTTGCTTAATCAGAAACAAGCTATGTGGAATACCATGATAGTAGTTAAGGCATTCCAGGAGATGGTGACACTAGCAGAAGCATTATGGGCAGGGAAGGCACATCCATATCAAGAATACATTTATTCCAAAGAGTACAAATCTCTGCCCCTTGCATAATAGAAGATATCCAATACAATCAAACTGCCCCTAGGTAGCTGGCCCATCCCTATGGGGAATGGTTCCACATGTGGGGCTTTGTGCTCTTTGCTGCCTGGTAAATAGCTGCATTATCAGATGTGTAGCTGCATACCAGGTGCTAGCAATTGTATTGGTTTGCTCCAGTGAAGATACCATATCGAGAATAGCAGCTGCCATCAGAGAGACCACCTGGTTAAGTTTATGATAACCCACAGTCATTCTCCAAGATTCATTCATCTTCTGCACAGAGTAAACAGATGAAGTTAAATGGGTATGTGATGTGTATCACCATCCCTTTGTCTTTCAAGTCTCTGATGGTGGCACTAATCTCTACAGTTCTATCCTCATAAGAGGAAGCTCCTGGAACTTCCAGAAAGTAATCATAGGGTAAGTCTGTGGATCAACTGGGTCTGCTCAGAGTCAAACCTGGGCAGATATTCCATCTATCATGTGAACTTCATAAATATACAGTTTGATTGCTGGACCACAGTGGTGTTTTCAGTCTCCAGAAATTTGCATCAGTTCAGAGCTATTGTAGGCATAATACTAAGATGGCCTTCAAGATCCCTTTGCCTTGGCGTACACATAACTTCTCCCAGTTATTCAGTCAAGCACTAACCTAGGTGCTGCTGTGAAGAATTTTGCAGATTAATTAAAGTCACAAATCAGTTGACTTTTAGAAAAGGGAGAATCCCAGGTGAGCCCAGCCTAATCAGATGAATTCTTAAAAGGTACTGAGCTATTCCTGAGGAAAAAGATTTAAAGCACAAGAGAGGTACTTGACACGAGGAAGTTTCTTTGTTGCTGACATTGAAGATGGAGAGGGGTAAGTGGTCTCTAGGAGCTAAAAGCAGACCCGAACAGCTGGCAAGGAAATGTGGACCTCAGTCTTAACAACTACAAAGATCTGAGTTCTCCCCCAATCAGATGAGCTTGAAAGAGGAATCCAAGCTCCAGATGAGAAAGAAGCCCAGCTGTCACCTTCAATTTATCCTTATGAGATCCTGACAGGGAACTTAGCCATCTCATGCCCAGACTTCTACAAAACTGTGAGCTAATAAATGGGGTTTGTTTAAGCATCTAAGTTTGTGGTAATTTGTTATACAACGGTACGAAACTAATATGAAAGCCAATGTCTGGTAGTCCTTGGAAAGCCTAGATTATTTCCTATCCCCCAGTATACCATCACTCTAGTAAATGCCCTCTAGGCTCTTTGAAGAAAGATTGGAGGAGGATTTACAGTATATACTTGTGGCAGTACTGCAGAAACCATCCAAAAGGGAGCCTTCAGCCTCTAGGTGTGTGAAGTAGCTTAGATCTGGGAATGAGGTAAGAGGTTGTAACTCTCCATTGTGGTGACTAAAATCAAGTTTTACCACCAGACCTGGAGGTTTTTCTGTCACATCAATTAAGCAATATTCTAGTAGGCTGCTCCTTTATCTCATTTCTAAGGATAACCATGATCAATTAATCACAGCCAAAATCTGTGGGCAAAAACATTCTGATTACTGATTTGCCTTTTGACTTTTATGGTAAATGTACCCACCTTGTTTTGATGGTTAAGTGCTGCCTTCTGGCCTTTCTGTTCCAGGATCCTTTCACCTCCACTGAAATCAGAGACCCCATCTCAATGGATACATCTCTCATGACCATCCCTGGCCTGCAATGGAGAGCAAACATAGAGCTTTTCAAGGATGCAGGTGCTCTCTTCACTAATGTATTTCTATATGCTTTAGTGAAGAGAGTATTTTCTGGGTCTCCTCAGGGGGATGTAGTTGGTGCTGGAGATGGAAAGGGATAAGAGTGGTCTTAAGGAGCTTAAAGTAGACCCCATATGGTTGGACACACATAGATGGATAAAGTTTATTTGGAAAGTGGAATGGAAATGTGATTTTGGTTTTGAATACAATTTTGAGATCATAGGACATACAAGAAGAAATAGATTATCAAAGGTAAGAAAATGAAGGTCATGTAAATGATTAAGGATAGAGGTGAATCTTGGAAGCATCCTATAGAAGTAATTTCTCTAAGAAAAAGCGAGAGTAGTGAATCATGAAGAAGCAGTGCCAGACGAGACAAAAATGCTAAAGGTTAGAGGAAGACAAGACACTATAGCTGTATACAGAGCAAAGAAGGGGAGAACCTTGAGAAAGGATGAGTTGTAAATAATACTTTGTTATTATTATTGTGTAATTATTATCATCATTTATTCAGTGCTAACTATGTCCCATGGCATTTTCTACACATCATTTCATTTAATCTTAACAACCAATTTATGAGGGAGTTGGTATTGTCTCTATTTTATCTATGAAAAGCTGAGAAAGTTAAAAGAAAGAAAAAAAACTTTACTAAAATTATACAGCCAGTTAGTGAGGCAAGTATTTGAACACCAGATTGACTGGTTCCAATGTACAAAATTGTGACCTTGGGAGAAAAGTTACAAAGTAACTATTTTTAAATGTATGTTCAACACAAACACATAAATGTCCAGGTAGACTTAATTTTTTAAACACATAATTTGCCCATCTTAGTCTCTTATTGTAACATCTATCTTGGAGAAGTAATGTGGTGAAATGTGAAGTACAGCAGATTAAAAATCTAAAGCCCAAGTGCAGTAAAGTGTATAACCAGAAACATTTCTAAATAGCATTTTTTTAATTGAGATATTCACATGCCGTGAAATTTACCCATTTAAAGTATGCAATTCAGTGGTTGTTAATATATTCACAAAGTTGTACAGTCATCATCACTGTCTAATTGCAGAACATCGTCATCCCCAAAACATACCCTGTACCTATTAGCAGTTACTCCCCCTTTCACTTCTCCCCCAGCCTGTGGCAACCACTAATCTACTTTTCATCTCTATAGATTTCCCTATTCTGAATATTTCATATAAATGGAATCATACGATATGGGATGTTTCGTGTCTGGCTTCTTTCACTTAACATCTTTTCAAGGTTCATCTTTGTTGTAGCATGAATTAGTACTTTGTTCTTTTTTACGGCTGATATTCCATTTTATATATATTTTTTGTTTATTCATTCGTTTGTTCTCTCATCAGTTGATGGACATTTGGGTTGTTTCCACTTTTCATCTATCATGAATACAAACTTGTGTACAGGTTTTTGTGTGAACATAGTTTTTATTCTCTTAGGAATTGCTGAATCATATGGTAACTCTATGTTTAACCTTTTGAGAACTGCCAAATGTTTTTCCAAATTCCAGAGCAGCTGTACCATTTTACATTCTCACTCTTAGTATCTCTTTATATTTTATTTCTTCATCTGTAAAAAGAAAGGGTACACTTGAGGTTTTGTGGGGAGAAAAGTATGGGTTAGAATGAGAGTGTTACACCATAATTTTTTTTGTATCCAGTTCTAAATATTACGTGTAACATTTTTTCCCTCAAAATCCTAGGGAAGCAGACTAGAATAATTAGTAAAAATTCAGAAGTCAGTGAGAACTTTTACCAGTTTTTTTATCTTACTGATTTGACAATTCTGTTGTATTTCTTATAGAGAAGCTCGCAGAGGCTCAGCGCAGGTTTGCTACACTTCAGAATGAACTTCAGTCATCACTGGATGCTCAGAAAGAAAGCACTGGTGTTACTACGCTGCGACAACGCAGAAAGCCAGTCTTTCACCTGTCCCATGAAGAACGTGTTCAACATAGGAACATTAAAGACCTTAAACTGGCCTTCAGCGAGTTCTACCTCAGTCTTATCCTGCTGCAGAACTATCAGGTACTTGGATTCTTACACTGGAGAATAGCACTTTTAAGTAAATGAGAAATTCCAATAAGTGGAATCACCTTGAACTGTACTAAGAGGTCAATCCAAAAAGGAAAATCCTTAGCATGTCATTATTCTTGGGGATCTTATTGTGATTTCAGAGATTCTTTTGGTTAAAAACTATGTATCAGAGACAGCAAAACAATGTTAACAAGACTTCCGTTCTTGAAGATTAGTTTTCTAAAAAACATATACAATATTCAAGGATAACTCTTGACTCAAAGACTAGTTTGCTTTTGATTTTTAGAGGCAGCTCTGGTAGTGATGAGTAGAAATAAGGAATACATGCCAACCCAACCATTGTTGTCTATGTAACAGCTTTTATATTCCTCCTAACCAGTAGTAAAATTTGTTTAAAAGCAATCAGACAGTTAACTTTTCTGCAACTAATGCATAAAACAAAAGATCCTTTCAACTTGCCACCAAAAGAATACTTCCCATTTTTTTGTCCACATACAGCAATACAACTGTATTTAAAAAAAAAAAAAAATCTTGAGAAATTAGGTCATAGCAAATGTTTGTAGAGACTGAAAATCTAAGCTATTATGATACATCACTCAGTATTTTTAAAACCCAATCTGAAAAAGTCATACTTCCATGTATGCAAGATTATGGAAATATATGGCATTCACTTACTTGTAATTCTTTATAGGTTTGTTTACATAGTTAAATCTACATATAAAGAACTTAATTGAAAAACAAATTATTTGTTCAATAAAAAAAAAAAAAAATCTTGAGAAATTAGGTCATAGCAAATGTTTGTAGAGACTGAAAATCTAAGCTATTATGATACATCACTCAGTATTTTTAAAACCCAATCTGAAAAAGTCATACTTCCATGTATGCAAGATTATGGAAATATACGGCATTCACTTACTTGTAATTCTTTATAGGTTTGTTTACATAGTTAAATCTACATATAAAGAACTTAATTGAAAAACAAATTATTTGTTCAGTAATAAACATTTAAGTAAGCAAAAGTATCTCCCTAATTTCTAGAGAGACCTTATGCACTATTTTTTTCCATTTTATTTTTGTGATTATTACTTATAATTAGTGGTTAGGATCATCATAGAGTAATATACCATATACACAACAAAAGTATTACAAGGTAAGTATTAGAATTTTTGTGGGTTTTTTTGGCAGCTGGCTGGTATGGGGATCCAAACCCTTGACATGGTGCTATCAGCACTACGCTCTGCCAAGTGAGCTAACTGGCCAGCCCCAGAATTTTAAAATAAAAAGTAATTAAAGTCCTATATCTGCAGTAATCTAAGTTGTTAATGTATGTACTTATTTTCATCTTTCCCTTTCATAATTCTTTCTTTGGTGATTTAATATTTTATCAATTTTTTTTTATCATTCAAAGAAGAACCCAGTTGGAAAATAATTTGGTAGAAAAGTAATTATATTATATATATCTATGTATGTATATATGTGTGTATATATCCTTTGCTTTGAAATTCTTCCCTAGCTTTATAATTTAACTTCTAAAAGAAACAAAATGTATTTTCTCTTTCCTGTAATGTTATAAAAACATTAGCATTTTGTCGTTCTTTAACTATTCTTGTGTGTTATAGGGAAATACCCTTGTTAAATTTTATTTTATTAATTTTCCCAGCAACTTTTTTTTTGGACCATTATAAAAAGCTCCTTAGGAAAACAAACAGTTATTAATAAAAGTTCTGCTCTATGCTCTATTCTTTGGAGCTGTCTATTCTATAAGAATACATTTACTTTGAGATGAGGGAGAAAGGAAAATTGACTAAAACCTGTCTCCAAGTCATCGTGTACACACCCCAAGAAGTGTTTATGATTATATATTAAAGTATGAGGGAAAAAACTATAAGCAAGTAAGCAAAAACAAAGCCTATTTTAGAGTGAGTATTCTATTTTTTACTGATGGGGATATGTGATCTATTGGGAGATCTCCAGTTTATAGATCCAACCTTGAATCTGCAGTTTTCTGCTTTTTTGCATGTTGAGCAAAGCACAACAGAATTTGAGAATGTAGAAAAGTATAGTATTTTCATATTGTAGAAATTCAGGAAAAGTAGGGGTTCCTACCCATTTTCAGCTAAACCATATAAGTATGATCACTTTTTCTTTTTTGCTGAGTCTTCTTTGCATTTCTATCCCCAGACAGAATGAATGGAAGGAAAATGAAAGTTAATAGAACTGGATGATCTTCCATTTTCTTGCTGGTGCATACATGCTTGCATGGTAACGGGCAGCAATGAATTTCTATACCAGTCCTTCAAAAAGCAAAGAATTAAATAAATGTGTTCATTGAATGATAAATGCAGAACATTTTTTGAAAATATTGTTTTGACCAGAGCAGCAAAATAATATAAATTAGATATTTTGAGAGTCATTGTACATAGAAAAATGGAAATTAGAATGTTTTAAGTTTAGGACTTCCATTAATTTACTTGGAAGAGAAATAATAGAGTTCATAGTTTAAGGGTTTTTTTGTTGTTGCTGCTGACAGCACACTACCTTGAAATGAATACATGAAATAAGAAGAATCTCACACTTTTAGAAGTGAATGCTTTTATGAAAGTATTGCCATTTTCCTGTGTTCTCAAACTTTGTCCAGTCACCTATGTCAATGCTTGGTGCTTATTATTTTTCATCTTCTTTGATGGTGGTAGAAATTATAGATGTGTTTCTCATTTTTTCTGTAGAACCTGAATTTTACAGGGTTTCGAAAAATCCTTAAAAAGCATGACAAGATTCTGGAAACATGTCGTGGAGCAGATTGGCGAGTGGCTCATGTAGAAGTGGCCCCGTTTTATACATGCAAGAAAATCAACCAGCTTATCTCTGAAACTGAGGTGCAATAATCCCACTTATTTACAACACATTTTCAATAATATTCATGTCTTATTATAGAGAAATAATTCCTCATTTCTGTTCTCCTTTGTACATAGTTTGCAGCTTTGAATACATGTAGTGTCATTTGTGATTTTTTTCTTTTGCTTTATAAGTATACATTCACCAAGAGGTTATAAGAATATCATATATATAAATGGTACAAAATTACTTATACATCACTCAAGTTTAGTATAGCCTATGTCAGAATTTAATAACTTATCTTTCTAGGCTGTAGTGACCAATGAACTTGAAGATGGTGACAGACAAAAGGCTATGAAGCGTTTACGTGTCCCCCCTTTGGGAGCTGCTCAGGTTAGTGTTTGCTGCCAGCAGTTTGTTTGGTTTTACCTATTTAATAATCAACACAATCTGTTTCACTGGTTTTTATTACTTTAAAAAAAATTCTAGCCAAAGTTTTAAAGTAGTTGTTGCTATTGTTATTTAGCTTTTAAAAAATTAGATGCCAGATTTCACTTCACAATAAATTGTAATGTCTTCCTGTATTCCCTCTCCTATTATTATTGACATGCTAACTCCTTGTTCTTATCAAATGATTAAAATGAGATTTTTTTTTTTTGATGATATGGGGTGTTCAAATGTGTATAACTTCATCCAAAACACAGCAGTTATGCTAAAAAAAAGCATTTATTAAATGGTATCTTCTGTGTCATAAAACAAGTCTCAATAAATTTAAAAGGATTTCAATCATACAAAATATGTTTTCTGACCACAGCGGAATTGAAATCAATAAGTTTCCACAACCTAATAAAAGAACTAATAATGACTTTAGCAAGGTTGCAGAATATAAGATCAGTATATAAAAATCAATTTTATGTCTATATAACAGCAAGAACGATTGGATATCAAAAAATTTTAAAACAAGGGCCGGCCCGGTGGCACACTGCTACAGTGCGCCGTCAATTTTATGTCTATATAACAGCAAGAACGATTGGATATCAAAAAATTTTAAAACAAGGGCTGACCCGGTGGCACACTGCTACAGTGCGCCGCTTGGGAGCGCAGCGGCGCTTCCACCGAGGGTTCGGATCCCACATACAGACTGGTTCCCGCTCACTGGCTGAGCGAGGTGCGGGCGCAACACTGAGGGTTGCGATCCCGTTGCCGGTCCCGGTCTGGTACGGGCGCGACACTGAGGGTTGCGATCCGTTGCCGGACACAAAAAAAGACAAAAAAAAAAAAAAAATTTTTTTTAAAACAATGTTTTTTGTAATACCATCAAAATATGAAATGGTAGGAATTCTGACAAAAGTTATGCAAGACTGTTATATTGAAAGCTACAAAACTTTGGGTTATGCATAGATTTCTTAGAAATGACATCCAAAGCACTTCATCAAAGTTAAAAGTCTCTGCTCTTTAAAAAAGACACTGTTAAGAGAATGAAATGGAAACAGATTAGGAGAGAATATTTCTAAAACATATCTGATAAAGGACTTGTATCTAGAATATATAAAGAACTCCAATACTCAGTAATAACAAAATAACTCAATTTTAAAATGGGCAAAAGACCTGAATTAACACTCCATCAGATACGTACAGGTGAAAAATCAGCATGTGCCAAGATGTTCAATATCATTAGGCAGCAGGGGAATGCAAATTAAAACCACAATGAGATAATACACACCTGTTAAAATGACTAAAATTAAAAAGTTTAATCATGTTAAATGTTGAAAGAACAGGGACTCTCTTATATGCTGCTGGTGGAAGATAAAATGGTATAACCACATTGGAAAACATTTAAAATAACTGAAGTAATATCACCTCTAACAACAGCAACAAAAATTTTTATAACATTCATAGCAAATATTTAAGTACATAGTATTATTATTTGTGTTTCTCATTCTTTTACATTTAAAATCTCAGGCACATTATATAATTTATTTTAGAAAATAGTAGTTTTAAAAATCAGTTCTAAATATAAAGTTAGATTATAATATAGAAAAATATATTGTTAACCTCCACACTCTGGAGATTCTGTTGTAACAGTCTCTTGAGAATCTCCAGTATATTTTGAAAAATTCACTTTCAATTACCTCAGTATAATAGTATAGGTATTATTAGAAGATGTCTTCTTATTTTTACCATTGTCTTTCATTGTTATTTATAGTATCATTTATGTAAACTCTGAGTAATATTGACTTACAAAACTTAAAGATGTATAAATTGTAAAAATAAAATTACATCTCAAATCTTTCTTATAAAAAAAATACTCAGTGTATATGTAATTAGGTGCCTAAGATTATAATCTTATGTCATAACTCAGATTACCATAAAAGAATTCGATTAACTGGCAACTCTATTCTAGTATTACAAGATGATAAAAGATGATTCTCTGGTTCAGATTTATAAAAATTCAGATCATAAAATATTATTTTCATGGTGGATCTTTGAGGCTTGTACTACTGATTTATTACAACATATACTAAATGTGCTCACTATACCAAAAGTGCTATTTGTCCTATACCAAAAGTGCTATTTTTCTGTCCATAGCCTGCACCAGCCTGGACTACTTTTAGAGTTGGCCTGTTTTGTGGAATATTCATTGTACTGAATATTACCCTTGTGCTTGCCGGTAAGTGGTTTAAATTTTGAATTAATTTATTCTTATTAATATGCCTGTGTCATACTCTGTTTGAACCTCCGTAAGGAATCAAGCATGCAACTACCAAAGCTACTGAAAGAGAAATCTGTCAGAGTTAAGTTTTTTGTTCTTACTAACAATGTGGGCTTTTTGGTCATTTGTTTTGTTTGTTTTTCTCTTTGAGTATAGTTATCCCTTAAAACATTGCTAGTGTATGACCTCTTATTCTCCATAATTTTCCAGTTTTTATGTATATAACTTCTTCAGACTTTTTCAAAGTTCAGTTATCAAGAAACTCAGCTCTCTTGATCACAGATGAGGATATGTTGCAGAATTCATTCACTAAAGCTCATTCACTTTGCTTATTGGAGACACTCCCACATACTTTCCAGAACCTACTTACAATTACTTTTCATATAGTTTTAAGAAGTTTGGTTATACAATTTCATATTCTGTTGAAGTTAAAAGTCAGAAAGAGGCAGAAAGGATTGTTAGAAGCAACTGCACTCCCAACATCAAGAAATGATATAACAGCAAGGGAGACATAATCTTACTAAACCTCCAAAGAACTTGATATATCCCTCAGTAATATATATTGATATATATTGATCACTACTTCTTGAGACACTTTCTTAGATTGGTTTTGGGAAAACCACACTCTGATGATTTTCCTATTAAATTTCTTCCCCAGTCTCCTTTATTGGCTTTATTGCTCTTTGTGACATGGAAATGTTGGGAAGTACTGCTAGGCTCCATTCTCTAATCTCCTGTCTACATTTATTTCCTACCTATGCAGTCTTATTCAAGTGAATAAATATCATCTATACGTTAATGACTCCCAAACATATATCCTTTCTTCTCTGAATGACATCTGATCAGCTACTTGGATGTCTAAGGCAAACTTCCACAGACAAAAGAAACCTTGATTTTTACCTCTAGATATGCTTTTTTCTTCCATATGGCATCACCTTTCATCCAATTTCTCAAGCCAAAAGCTTTTAGCCTCTCTCTTCCCTCATACTCCATCTATAATCCATCAGCAAATTCTGTTTCTCTGTCTTCAAAATATGTTCAAAATCTGACAACCTCTTACCACCTCCACCAGTGCTATGCTTGTCTAAACAACCATTTTTTGTTTTATATACTACAGTGGCCTCTGAACTTGTCTCTGCGTCCTTACAGCCACCAGTTTTATTTAAAATGTGAATTAGACTTCATTATCCTATTGAAAATCCATTTATGGCTTCTGTATTAGTCCATTTTTGTGTTGCTATAACAGAATACCTGAGACTGGGTGACTTATAAAGAAAAATGACATTTATTGCTTACAGTTTCTGAGGCTGGGACGTCCAAAGTCCATCCGGTGATGGTGACAGCAACCCAGCGGTCTCACATTGCAAGGTGGTGGAAGCAGAGAGAGCAGAGAGACCAAGAGAGAGAGAAAGACAGACTCTACTCTCTCTTCTCAGAACCATGCCCCTGACCACCATTTTTAATNCATTTATTGCTTACAGTTTCTGAGGCTGGGACGTCCAAAGTCCATCCGGTGATGGTGACAGCAACCCAGCGGTCTCACATTGCAAGGTGGTGGAAGCAGAGAGAGCAGAGAGAC